ATATTTTGTCATCATATTCAGGTTACTTTGCAGGCATGTACCACACACCATTTCGTCACTTTTGGCAAGACACACAAGACAAAGAGAGAGAGTGTGCCCACGGGCACTCTGATTGCAAGTTTCAACGTTGCTTCTCCAACATCATCGTGCCAAGACGACGTCCTGTCCTCAAGTGTTTCCGAATATGTAGTTCGGCAGAGTCATCATTGTTAACAGCAGGGCTAGTATACCGAAATCTTCCTCATCTGGACGGCGGGCCTGTGTGACCCGACGCGAGACTGCAACCTCCAAAACCCCACGACAATGAACCGCCTCCGCGCCGTCCGTTGCGTAACCACGGCCAGAGCCACAGGATGATGCCAATGGCTGTACCACACGACGCCATATCGAGACGTGCAGCTGGCTGATGCTCCTCCCATAGACCGACCGAGAACGGGACCGGGCTACGGCTACGGCGGGCTCATCACTCGGCAGCAGCGCAGGCAACCACGAGACCCGCCTCATGGGTATATATCACGGCCGCCATATACCCTCCTTACATGGCCTGCGGTTTTGTTTTGTCTTTCATGCGAGCCCTTTCCTGATGCTCACCTCCCTCCCCATGTTTCTGCGCTGCCTCAACCCCTCTCGCTTGCCGCCTACGGCCCTGGACTCGCTCAACCCCTCATCCGTTCTATTGCCCTCGAGCCTGCCAGCCGGCGGCAAGAGGCTTGGAAGCCGCCCAAATCATTGACGGTTGAGTTGGGAGCTATGAGCCGTCCCTGACCCTGGCATCGGGATCTTCTCTTAGTCTGCGAGCTGTGATTCGAAGAGCTAACCACCGCATCGCGATGAATACGCCCGTCGCTCCCGTGACGTTTACTATGGGACGGAGAGGCGACGACAGACATCCAACGGCTGCTATTTGATGGTTCCGCGGCAGTCAGCCATACCATCAGCCAGCCTGGCTGCATGCAGCCGGATCCTTTGATACTCGAAAGGCCAGGACGCCGGGGTTGAGACTTGCTCACGTCGTACAGCTTGCCCCTTGAATCGCCTGCTGCGTGGTTCCGGAGGTTTCTCGCGATATTCCCAAGCCTTGCCATCGTATCGCGCATAAGGGTATTTAGATGGGTCTGACTGGGGCCTCGCTTATGGCCTGATCGACGGCGACACTCATGACAGCTAAGTGCAGCACCGCTGGCCATTGCTATCTGGTCGTCTGCATGCACGAGTCTCAAAACAGGTTGTGATGAGATTGTGTCGTTGGTCGCAAATACTGCAGCACTCTGACTAAGTTGCTCGTCTAGGTGCCTTCGTGGTCGTCGGATTTGAAGCCCCGCTTGCCCTCGGGCAACCTTAATCCTTCCTGTCAAACGTGACAGCAGGGCCTGAGTGCTGGTTGTGAAGGGATGTGAGTCGACCACGTTTGCAACGTGTGGGAGGACAGGCTTCGCGATGTCACCTTCGCAGGGTCATAGAAGACAGAGGCCATGTGCTACGCGCGCGGCGAGGTCTGTTGAGTTTGCGTTTCTCGTTCCCTGAGGATACGGCCGCCAGACGGAGCAGTGGATGGTGGAACTCAATGTGAGCATGACCATTGGCGATGGGTCGACGACGTTCATCACTCGACGCCGGTGGTAGATCGTAGGCCGCTATGCTCAATCCCAGCTTCAGGAGTGTGCCGATGGTCCAGCTGGGGAGTTTGACAGCTTGACAGATGGAGACGCTTTCAGCAAACCCATAGCATGGCACGCACCATGGTAGCAAATAAGTGTTGATCAGCGCCGTCTAGTGAAGTTTGCGGCGTCGGGTTTGCCCCGAAGTGCATTGAGTTGGGCAGAAGCACACAGCCCCCTGCTGTCAGCTATGGTCTCGACTCAGTGACGTGTGTTTCGAAGGTTTGCGAGCGGCCAGTATCCGCCGAGCAAGCAATGAGAGTGAAGGAAAAAAAAAATACAAAATGAGGCGATGCTGCGATGGAGCCGTGGAGCAAGTGATGGGGGACACCACCTGGAGCATGCCTCTCCAACGTGGGACTCGAATTCGTACCAAAGCGGTCATGGCGGAGCGGGTCGAATTGACTTTGACAATAAGTGGGGGAATGGGGCCGGGCTCGAGCAACAGCAGGTGGGAAAATGGGAAAAGGACCAGGAAGTGTGCTCCGAAAGACGCAAGACGGGAGCGTAGGCTGATCCAAGCTCCCACCCTGTCCAGCACCTTTCCTCCTGAGTTGGAAACAGGTTTTGTCTGTTTCGTCAAAGTCAACCGATGCCGGCCTGAGAGTCTTGACCCGCAAGCAAGTTGGAGGTAGGCATGAATAAGGTCCTCAGACGCCGTACGTGTGTGATGTGTGGTGTCCTGTGTCCTGTGTCCTGCTCCGGTCCGTGACTTCGGTGCCGAAAGTGCGCATCGGCCGCCGCCAACCTCCTCACCTACCTACGTTCGGTATGGGGCCAACGTCCAAAAACGGCGCCGTCTCCGGGGGTCAGCCACCATTTCAGCGTTGCATCGCCGAAACGGTATTCCGGGTACTGTGGCCTGACATAGACTGCCCTATGCACCTCTTCCAAGGGCGTCCCTAGGCCTGCATTTGATCGTCCCGGTGCTCCGGACCCGTCACCACCGCCGGAGACCTCAAGTTAGCCTTTCCGTCACCTCCGGCCAGAATGTAGCCGACGGCGGGTTCCCCATCCCGACTCCCGACTCCAAGACGGGGTTCCCAGTTTGCCGTCCGATTCTTGAGCATTATCGTATGTTTCGACCGCATCCACCGAGTCAAGCGAGCGCTTGTCGACTTCAATAGGCCCTCATTCCCCGTCCTTGTCATCGTATTTTGTTTTTCGACCCCGGCTGGGGTGTTCGGACCTGGAATATATCGATGTAATATGGTTCGTTCGTTGTCCGTGTCTATTTTGCCGCTCTGCCGTCCAACAACCCTGATCCTTGACGCTAAGGCCCTCCTGGCGGGGACGACCAGCTTCCCCTTTGATAATGACACTTTTCTTCTCCATTTCCTGTCAGTTTCCCCTAGAGGCTCAAAACTGGGGTGCGTTGCCGACCTGGTCCTGGGCCGTCTCCGCCGCCTCGTCATCCCCCCGTCCTGGCGGCGCCGAATCCAACGCTCCGCACCCGTCAAAACGGCAAAGTGGAGGAAGAGGACCTGGCGTCCGTCGTACGATGATTTCGAGTCAGTCGGATCATGTCCAGTCCTATGTTGTAGTGTAGGATGAGATTCCTGGTTGCAGCACGCAATTCGCATGCTGCATCTTGATGAAGCTGGATGGAACCGTGCCGGTGCCAACTCCACGTGTCGTTCCGTTCCCCGGCTCGAGAGATCCGAGCAACCGACGTCTTCGCACTCCCGAAGACGGTTCTGGCCCAAGCCGGCCCCTGGAAGTGCAGGGAGCGGCCGCCAGCAGTCCTCTCCTGCCATGAACACCCAGCCAAAGAACCGTTGCCCCAGTCTGGGTCCGCTCGTTCGATACCTTAATTAGACGAGACACAGGTACGTTGAACGGGAGGTTGCATCTTGGACAAACCATTGGACTACCAGGAACCAGGGCGTTGGGTGACCGTGCCATTGTCCGACCCAGAATAGCTGTCATAATGAGGAACCAAGCGCCTCACCGCCCCAACTGCCCGACACGCCGGCTCTCAAGGTCAACTGCCGATCGAGACCGGCGAGACATTGTGATCGCTTGGGCCCTCGGCCGGGGTTTTCCCGAGATCCATCCCACGATGGAGAAATGACAGGATACTAGCCCAACTTGGCTTCCCCAAGATCAAAGTTCAGGTCGATGGAGATTCTTCTGGTCGTCACGGTTGGGCCAGTGGGGTTCGACGAGTCGGCCAAGGCCGACAAATGAAGACGAGGACGAAGTATTTTTGGCCGGTTACGATACCCGGTAGGAGTCCAGGGTACGGTTAGCTGCGAATTGGTGTACTGGTCGTGGTTTAGCCTCGCCAGCGGATACGGAGTCAAAGTCGGAAGAGGCTCGACCGCCAACGCAATTATTTGCTCGTGGGGATGGATGAAAACTCTTGCGGCGATGTTGACTTGGTGGAAGGTGCCCTTTTGAAGGAATGGAAGGTACAGATCGATGGGAGCGGCAGTCATGTGTTAATGTCAAAGCACAAAGCACGGATGTGATGACCACCTCTTGCGGAAAGTGAGAATGGCATCGAGGGGCCAGCAGGGCCTTCTTTCCTCATTCCAGTGTCTTTCCGGATGCGGTATCCCCCACTCCTTCTCTCTTTCCTCGCTGTTCGTCCAATGATCTTATCTAGATTACTCCATGAGACGGTACCCAATGGAGAGGCAGGGCCAGCCTGAGACCATTTGCATGTAGCGTTCAAGTACATCTGCCCAGGTACACGGCTATGGAGTACCTTGTACACATACATAAGGTACATTGAATAGGTACGCACAGAATAGGGAGCCAGCAACTTTGAGGACTTCAAGGTCTCTCTCCAGTCGAGCGTTCGCTCTTTCCCCAGATGCTCCTTGGAACCCGTCCCTGCGTTTGAGAGCCCTTGACTGCAATTGTTATCCGTACCTACTGAGAGAGACCTCGGGGCGTAATTTAGCCCCTATGCGGCAACTAACAGAATCGGCTGCGGTTCAATGTAGTCCAGTCTCACCTGCTATGGTCACGGATGCTGCTGCGGCAGCACCTTCCGCCGTGGTTTTGGTGGTTTCCTTTCGCCGATACTGATGCATTGCGGCTGCTGACTACATTCCGAATCCCCTGAACTTCTTATCTCGCAAAGTGCCTGATATGGATGGCTTCCTCTGGTTTCAAGTTTACGTGCTGCGAATGATAGCAATCACGCGACATGACGTTATCCAGCAATCGACCCCAATGCCATCGTCACTGCGCCGTGCTATGCTTAGGCTTGGATGATCGATAGCTTGCACCGTGTCTTCTCCCGTCTCCTCCGACCCTAGCCAAGTGTCCAGACAGACCAATCGCACTACACGATACGCGAAGTGAACATTTCGGCACACATTGCTTGCCATGCGTGCAACTATCATCCTTCCCAGGAACGAGTGGGATGGGGTCTTATCGGCGCCCCCAACCCAGGACGAAGTTCGACTACAGAGCATCGTCATCCTCGTCGTTTCAATTGTTTCGATTCTTGGCGCAGGATGGATCATGCTCAGTTTCTGGGTAAGTTAGAACCTGAACTGACGTCTCTTCAGCTGACAAGCTGCAAAGCTGTTTCCAAATCTGCGCTCATTCCGCCATCGTCTTATTCTTGGCCTGGCCATGAGCGACCTCATCATGGCAATCAACTTCGTCTGCTCTACTGCACTGAATATATCCGGTCGACCTATTGGTGCACCCGAGAATGCCACCTTCTGTAGCTACAACGGCTTCATGACGCAGGTCTTCGTTATTCAAACCGACTATTGGGTTCTCACTATTGCCGTTTGCACATATTTCATCCTTGCTGGCCACAAGAGACAATCGACGTGGATTCAAAACCATGAATATCTTATCTGGTCACTCCCCTGGTTTTTCTCGACTATTTGGGCGCTCATCGGCCTCGTCAAAGACGCATACCGCGACATAGGCGCTTGTAAGTCACACCCCTGCGAAGTGTGGCTAGTTTGCAGACTCTGATCCACCTTTAGGGTGCTGGTTCGGATCCGATCGGACTCGTCTACTGGTCAACTTCGTCCCACGATGTAAGCGCCCTTTGATTGTTCACATGGGCTTCAGCTGAAACACATACAGGGGTCATCATAGCCACTATGTTTGTCCTATATGCCTATCTCTACGTCGTTCTTTACAGAGCACATAATGAACTGAGCTCGGTGGTGGACGAGGTGTCCGGGCACACGACCCCTGTCAGAAGCGTTGATACCAGCTTTCAAGATGACAGCTTTCGTGGTGAGCGTCAGGCCCGTTCGTCGGCCACGTTGCGGAGATTGAGAAAGGTTTGAGGTCAAACGTTGCGTAGACGCCGAAGACTGACCGACTAACTCTGTACAGATTGCCCGCTTGATGCTGTTGTACCCTCTCGCATACGCCGTCATCTGGTCACTTCCAACGGCGATTAGAATATACAACTCAACAACGGAAGCTGCAGCACCGTTCGCTCTGCAGACTATCGATAAAGCAAGCATCGTTGTCCAAGGTTTGGTCGACGCGGTTATCTACGGCCTGCATGAGACTTCGTGGTCGAGTTGGCGTGCCCGCTTGTCACGGCAAGGGTACCCCACTCTGGCGACGATGAATGCAGACGATGCAAACGAACCACCAGCGAGAGAACGTGAACAGAGATCTTGTCGACCGGCATGCGGGAGAAGAAGAGAGATTACAGAATCGACGGGGTCAGGTCCTTCAACCCTCGTCGAGCCACAAGATGCGATTGAACTAAGAGATTTTACGACCGAGCCGCATCGAAAAGTTATCAGAGAATAGGTCAGGGTTGAAATTTATCGGGGCCTCGGAGAGAAGGGTGACACTTCTATTATGGCCCATACATGGGCCACAACCAAGCCTGGTCAGTTTGTTCTTGGAAGGCCCAGACCCGATTTCAGTTCAGTAGGTGTTGTTGCTGCACCTTGTTAGACGTAATTGAACTATTCGGCCCATTGATATACTATGCGACTGCCATAAGTTGGAGAACAGACACAGAGATACTCGTGAATTCGTCCTTGATCTAGACGTGATATCAACGTTAAATTACTACGTTATGTGGCTCGAAAACAAGCTTCCATCCTAACTACAAGACATGTTCCTCATGAATCATTGACCTTCCCCCTTCCCCTTGATGTAAAGAACTTCTTTAAGCCTTGGGTCCGGAGGTCTCGGCGGCAGAGGCTGCAGGGACATCCTTGGCCTTGGACTTCTTGGCCAAGCGCAAACCGCCGATGGCCATGACCAAGGCCTCGATGCCGAGGACGACGACAAGGGTGACGAGAGCGCCGATGACACCGGCAACGGGGGTAGAGATGCCGTTGGCGTCCTTGCTGGAGGAGCCGGAGCCGGTGGAGTTGGCGCCGCCGTCCAGGCCAAGCGCAGAGGCGCAGGTGCCCGTGGAGTTGCCGCAGGCGGTGCACCAGGCCTTGGTGTCCTTGACGGCGAACTTCTGCATCTCGGTGACGAAGGTGTTCCAGGGGAGGAGCGTCTCGGACTGTCCGAAGAGGGGGTACGCGGTCAGGTTGTTCTGGCCGGCGGGGCCGTTGGCGAAGCGGAAGCGCACCGAGACGTCGTCGGCGGCCGGGGCGGAGGCGGAGGCGTTGGTGACGAGCTCGAAGACCATGGAGGAGGCGTAGTCGACGACCTCGGTGAAGCTGGAGGACGCCTTCTGCAGCTGCGCAAGGCCGAAGAAGGAGGAGAAGGTGGCGTAGGCGCCGAACTGGATGTTGGCCTTTGTGGAAGAGGCCTTGGCGGCGTTGGCGAGGGTCGAGTTGAGGGCGACGAGGATCTGGCCGGCCAGGACCTTGCCGGCGATGGCGCGGATGGGGTCGGTCTCGTTGTAGGCCAGGTTCCACTCGTGGACGTCGGCGTAGGTCTTGAGCTGGGCGAGGGTGCTGTTCGTCAGCAGGCTCTCGGAGGAGATGGTGTCGTTGTGGATGGTGGCGACGTTGACGAGGTCGAAGATGGTGTAGGCGTTCTCGAAGGTGGCCGTCTTGGAGGAGAAGGTTCCGTTGATGACGGGCAGCAGGCCCTGGTAGAAGTCGGCGGAGGCGTCGCTGTAGTTCTTGTACTCGGGGGAAGAGAAGTAGTTGTTGGAGCTGACGACGGCGTTGCCGCAGCCGCTGCCGCCCTGGAGCCACTCGCTGTTCTCGGCGTCCTGGGAGGTGGCGGCGGTGCTGACGGCGTTGACGGGGACGTACTGGTAGCCGCCGAGGGGCGCCTCGACGCTGGTGCCGTTGGCGAGGGTGTTGGCCGTGCCGGCGGGAGGGTAGAAGCCCTGCAGCCAGGCGTAGGCGGAGGACTGGAGGACGACGTCGGTGGGGGAGGTGACGGCGAGCTGCTCGGGGCGGACCTCGTCGGTGCTCAGGGAGCGAATTTGCTGGGAGGCGTTGGAGCTGACGTAGCGGGAGCGATAGTAGAGGCCGGAGCTGTAGACCTCGTCGGCGCCGAGGTCAGTGAAGCGGACCGGGGGCCACTTTTTGGCGGTGCGGTCGCCGTGACGGTGGAAGACGTAGATTCCGAGGACCGTCTCGGCGGCGGCCGGGACAATGGGCAGGCCAAGGGCCAACAGGAGCTTGAGTTCCATCTCGAGTGTCTGTGTTTTGGTGTCAGTAAACCATGCGCTGTCCGTCGTCGCATTACCATTAAGAATCAGGAATGTCTGGCTTACGTTGTGTGGTTGATTAGGTTTAGGAATCTAAAGTCTTGCGGTCGACACAATAGTACAACACGGTCCCAGCCGGTTCGTTGTTCCCGTCTAGGAGAGGAAGACGAAGAATTCTCAAGGTGAGCAAGCGACCTTGGAGATGGAGAGAAAGCCTGGCACGTCCAGGAAAGCGCCCTCCAGCTGCCAGAGCCGGGCATCGCCGACTCTTTAACCATCGCCGACCGTCGGCTTCCGCACCTCATGACTGGCGGAATGCAGAGAAAGAGAGACGGCGAATCCCTCAGGGACCCCTCAGCCCACCACACACCTCTTCTTCCCGGAGACCATCTCCATTGCTGCAGCAGTAGCGTGTGTCTCTCCACCAAGGCTTGACCCGCTTCCTAGCTCCGGACCAGTCGATGGTTCGCGATAAAGGAGGGGTAAGAGAAAAGCACCAGCCACGGTGAGTACTTTCGTAGTAATTGCAACTTATCACCGGCCGCGCCCTATCAATTGCAACCGAACAAACGCGGGAGAAATCTGCGTTCGGGGTCGGGATGGATGTCGGGAAGGGCCTGAAGCAGGCAACTCGTGCGTCCAATTAGTCAAATGGCGAAGAGTGTCCCCACACCATCTGCAACCTATCGCCTGCAGGTCGAGGGATGTGGATGCCGGCTTGGCTCAAAGCTTGAGTTGCGCCGCACGCAGCCGGCCTATTCCAGAGCCGCTAATTAATTACCTTAGTTGACGAGGTGACAAAACAAAAAGTTCCCTAGGCATGCAACCACAAGGGCGCCGCCGCTGCATCTCCGGTCCACGGCTTTGGGCTGTCGGGCGGTTAAGACAATGCAAGGCGGGAGTGCCTCGTGCCGACAGCCGGAGATTGATAAGATTTCATTCTCTGATTGAAACAGCGTGGCTGGAACATTCAATCTGTTTGATTTTCCACAATTCGCAATATCTAACATGCAGGGCGCATCAGCAGCCGCCCACGCGATATCAACTTACAATCTTCGAACCCCAGTCTCTCTGTCCAATTCCGCGGAGGTGTTGGAGCTGTGTTTTGCAGACCCCACAACCAGAAACCCCCTGCCTCTCAAGCCACCGTCCATCTCACAATTTGGAAGTCGGCTTGCGTCCGCTCTTCACGTGCTTCGAGATCTCGCCCTTGAGCAGGAATTCCGGGTACTTCATGTCTTCATCGGTTCCGACTCCCAGCGCGCTCTGCCGCCTCCACGCGCCACCGTCAACGGGAATCGCCTGGCCGTTGACGAAGCTGCCGGCATCACTGAACAGGTAGACGGTGGAGTCGGCGATATCGCGGATGTAGCCCCACCGGCCTTGGGGAACGACGGCATCGGCCCTCGATTGGTCGGCCTTGGCGCTGGAGAGACGTTCCATGCCCTCCGTGTCCTTGATCGGGCCCGGTGCGATGACATTGCTCGTGACACCATACGGGCCGTACTCCAAACACACGGAACCCATGAGGGCATCAACGGCAGCCTTGGCGGCCGAGACGTGTGCCTGCAATGGCATGCCGGTGTAGTGGAAAGTCGCCGAGACGAAGATGATGCGGCCACCTGTCAGGCCGTCCTTGCTAGGCGTGGGGTTTCTCTTGGCTGACTCAACCAGGTACGGAAGAGTGGCTTTGAGGGTGTTGAAAGTTCCCAGCACGTCAATGTCCATGACAGCCTTGAAGGCGTTGGGGCTCATGGTGGACAAGGGTGCAATGAAGTTGCCGGCAGCGCCTGCACTACCGGGCCGTCAGTCTCGGAGCCGGATTGGACCCATTGAAAAGCGGCACTTACATGACAAAGTCGATGCTGCCGAGCTCCTTGGCACATCTGTCGGCCGCGTCCTGCAGGTTCTGGGGCTGAACGGCGACATGTCAGTTTCCGATGCCTCTACGGGGGCGGCTGGTGCAGCGTTGCATACATTCCGGACGTCGCATCCACCGATGCCGATGACCTTGGCGCCTGGTCTCGCAGTGGCCAGGTCCTTGGCCATGGACTCTGTCTTTTCGACATTTCTGCCAATGATACACGCATTCGCTCCGAGGCGGACAAGAGCGCGGGTTTGGGCGCTGCAAATGGTTCCAGCACCGCCGGTGACAAAGGCAACTCTGTCATCTGGAGACACACGTGAGTCTCACCGGTGTTCTTGAGCAACAACGGTACCACGGGTAAACGTACTGAAAATTCCGTCCTTCCATACCGGACTCAGGTACTCGGACTCGGGAACAGGCATGATGGCAGATTGTGTTTGTGGAGAACAACGTTTGAGGGTGACGATGCGGTCTATTCCCAGACAAACACGGCGCGGTGGATCTGCTTCCCACGGGATTGGTGAGGTAAGGCGGAATAAGCGTGAGAATACGACGACGACGATTCCGACTAGTAACTACAGGCCTCTGTGGATCCGATGGCTGCACAAATGCCGGATGGTATGCCGATCTATGTGGCACAAGAAAAAAGAAACGAAAAAAAAGGTCCGGCAGGAGTAGCGGTTGCTTTTGGGTGTCGGACGGCAGAGTGCAGCTCAGATCGCGGACGGTAGTGACGCGACGAACCTCGGTAAGGTCGGCGAACGGAGCCTGCCGCACGGTGAGAGCAATAGTGATTAGTCGACGGGTGTGCTTATGTCAGCTGTCTGCCAACCGACGGGCCAAGGAACCCAGGTCGAAATAGCGGAACTGCACCTCACTCAGCCAGCGTGCCACGGCTGATTGGCGGGCATGAAATACAGCGCGGAACAGCGCTGGGTGAGCTT